AGAAGAATCTTAAAGGCAAATGCTTTTTTGTTAAACATCACAAGTTGAAATACAAGCGACAGCCTGTTTTTACTTGTGTATGAATCTTTTTCTGAACCTCTCTGTGTTTTTGAGTCTTGAGTGCTTTTGCGTGTGTAAGTGTTTGCATACTTCTAGTACCTGAAATCAAAGGGGAATGAAGAATTTAAGATACAGTACCTAACTTCGACATTTTGTGGTTGGAAAAAGTTGTAATACACAGAAAAGAAAACTGAAAAAGAAATGTCATATATATGTGCCGTCATATATATATATATGAGAAATAGTGGCAAATACTCCAGTTTCAGTGTTGGACTCGACAGAGTTTTCCTGTTCGACGGTGGTTAACCATGGGATTACATTGAATAGGAACCATTATGAAATTGAAATTCATCAGAAATTCAAATCTTCAATGCAATTTTTTGACCCCCTGACAAAGGACCCATTTTTATGTGTATGGCACAGCAATGGCTGACAGTTGTGTCTAAATTCCTGGGGGTAAGTCTCCGTTATATGATACACAGGCGGATTCTTGTCTGAAATGAGGAATATGGATTATTAAGTCAAACAATCAATGTGATAACAAGCTTGTTGCTCCATGACTGAGCGTACAGTGCTGTGTATGTTCTCAGTGTATTGCAGAATAACATTCTGTATGCATCACTTACCAGATTTTATTCACAGTCTTCTTGGGATGTACAGTATTCGAAGGTGGACATTTTGAGTGCCTTATTTATTAAATTATTAAAGAACAAAAACACGTTTTGTTTGTTTGCGTCTGTAAGGACATGGGGATAGCTTCACGTTGGCTTTGGACACAGTCATTTCATTGGCATAAGAGAGGCTGTGTCGTTATCATAAGAGCGGAGACTGGAGAGGAAGCTGGGAATCCTTCAATGGTTCATGTTGAAAAGACCATGAAATTAGACTTACATGGACTATACATTATGAATATATGAGTCTCAAATTGAAATACAAATAATTGACAGTGTAGCTGTTATATCGTAGATTGTACATTTGCAATGTCTACGTGTCTGCATTGTTTACATTTGCGGTGGCTGTAATTTACTGTTTAACGTCTGCTATATATTTCAACATATATTTGAAATGTAGCCTCATATTGTTTTTATCTCATGCTTTCACATTCAAAAGATTTGATCTTGAAAATCTGTGGGTGTAGAAATGTCAGGATTATTTTCAGCCCGCTCTGTAACCCTCACCATTAAACACACACACACACAGACACACACACACAGACACACACATTAAAACAGGAAAAGGAAAGAAAAGCATGCAAGACTAACTGTTTCGTTTCTCTACCCCAAAAAAGCCCAACAGACGGTTACATGTAATCACATGTAATGCACTATTTTATAAGCATATCTTTATGCTGGCAGACGCTTATGTCTCTGTGCCATTGCTGGTTTTCCGTTTTAATGTTCGTTTTAACGCTGGTTTTCCATTTTAACATCTTCTCTTCTATGCTTAACCCCCAATGGGGAAAGTGGTACAGTCACAGTGTATAAGGGATGTACATAGATGTAAATGACAGAGGAGCAACTTTGTGTGAAACTGTAACTTGTGTTTTGACTGTAGAGAAATATGACCCTGTGTTTACGAAGAGAGACAAGGCCTCAATGTTCCTGTATTTATTGAGACAGAAATAGCCTGTAAGCACTTTTTGTTAAAACAAATAAAAAGTTTATTTCATTTATTGTGCATTATAATTGTCTTTTGTGTACAACATGCAATAAATTGGACTCTAAACGGTAGAACTTTATCGTCTGGTTTTATGATTTTTTTTATGGTAATGCGGTAGGGGGGGCATGCTGGTTTTGATTTTTTTATGGTAATGCGGTAGGGGGGGCATGCCGACTCTGGGGGCAGCATGGCAGCCTCTCACCTCCTGGGCCGGGGCTTTGAAGCCTACCTCTGCTCTGTGTGTGGTTTGCATGTTCTTCCTGTGTTATGTGGGGATCCTCCTGCTATCCGGAAAGATGGAGTCAGCCGAGCTGGCATGTCTGAGGCGCCCATAGGGTACGGTTTTGTGCGAGAGTCTGATGGAATCCTCAGACCCTCACCAGGATAAGTGCTTGGAATGCTAGGATGGATGGATGGATGGAAAATGTAATATTTCTACAGCTCTGTGGTGCAGAGTGTAGCTTGTGTAGCTTAAGAGCACTGAAGTCATGGGTTCAAATCCCAGGGAGTGCATACTAATTTTAACCCCTCCCTCTACTGTAAGTAATTTTGGATGAAAGTGTCAGATAAATGTAAACGTTCCCCTGCCTTGTGACCTATGCTGCCTCTTACAGGCTCCAGCCCCCCCCCCCCCCCCAAAAAAAAACCTGTCCTAGATGTGTTGTTGGAAGATGACTGGTTACTTTTACAATAATATTCAGATAACACATCAAGTTGTGCCTCCAGTCAAACACACAAGCTTTGTTTTGCTGTTAACTGAAAACAGACTGGTCTGATTGTGTTCTTTAATACACACTAAATATGCAGATTCTGCAGTAATTGACAAGGTCCTGTGTGTGTGTGTGTGTGTGTGTGTGTGTGTGTGTGGGTGTCCGTCTGCCTGCACGTGCAGGTATTCGTGTGTGTTGGGGGGGCCATCGGCGATCTGTCACATGCGCCCGAAACAGAGCAGGAAACAATCACAGGCCGCTGGCTGCACCTCCAGACGCTTCACGGGTCACTGTGTGCAGTAATGACTCTGCCGTTGGTCCCACCGCCATCACAGACAGGAAGTCACTGTCAGGCTGCATCATGGGATTGATCTCATACAGGCTTTTGTTTCAAAGGGAGCGTAACTGAGTCCTGAGAGCATGCACACGCATGCACACACACACAAACATGCACACACACACACACACACACACACAGATCATTAGCAGCCACGTGATGGGGCAAAACAGCCTTTAAAAAAAAAAAATCCCAGGTAGCATTTACAGTAATATTCAAATGAATTTCATCTCAGTCCAGAGCTAGTGAGGCCAAATTAACTCTGTGTGTGTGTGTGTGTGTGTAATGGAAAAGACATTTTCCTCCAATTGCCATTTTGGATAAAGCAGCATATTTAGCTCCGTCTGCGACATTGATCTAGAGCTTTCATCAGGCCTTCTTACGCAGATGATCTGATATTGATTACATAGCCTGCCAGCACTCAGGCACTCCAAGACAGTCCTAACAAAAAAAGCATTAAAGTGCATGTGAGCCGTTTGACTCATTAAGAACTAGTTCTTATTTAACCTGCATTCAAATGGTTAACTGCTCGATTCTGGGCATTTCAGCTACCTTTCAAGATCAATTCTGTGAGGCTTTAAGGAGTTGGAGCCTGTGAAATGCACATTAAACAGCTCTATACCATGTGCGACAAAACATGACCGTAAATGTAATAATATATGGGAAGGAATTATCCTCCAAAATGGCAATACGTATTCCATATGTGAGTGCAATGGGATTTCGTTGAATATGTGTACAATGACAATTAAAGGAATCTATCTATATATATTCCAATTAGATTAATTCTACATTATACGTAGACATCACGAGGAAATCGCAACCCATAAAAATAACTAATAAAATATGAGTATACATATGTATAATATACCCAAAGTATGTAAATGCAATGCCTTCCAATTCAATTAGGACATTTGAAGTAAATATTGGGTTTTTTTCCGCTTCCATTAAAAAATACAGCAAGACAACTGAATAATGGAGAATGTTTCACCCTTATTGTCTCCACTAAGCAAAAAGTCATCCGTATTCCAGCTCATTATAGTTCCTAAATCCCAAAACAAAGTGCGGCCAATCTGACGTGAGACTCGGCTAGAAATCAGGCTGCAGGGAAGAGTTTCGAGCTGGACGAGCTCACGAAGGAGGGCTCCATGTGGAGCTTATTAAACATCATTCAGCTTAAACACTGCGCACATTAAATATAAGCTGCAATCAAACAAAAAGTATTCAAATCTGTTTGTAATTTCCTATCTGTGTTCTACTATCTATGTTACCCAACGTCCTGGAACATAAACCGAAAGCTATAGTTAATGACAGCGAGCTAAATCACGGCTAGCTTGCCCTTTTGACAAGGCTGATAGGCAGCGTTAATCATTTGCGTCGCATAGCTACTTCGCGGTAATAATAGGGATATCAAAACTTTTTGGGTCACTGCGATTTATTTATCTAAGCATCTGACATTCATATAACATTCATAGATGAGGATGCTTTCATTTGAACAATGACACGTTACTCCATTGTGAAACAGCGTTGGCTGCTAATATCCCCACCTTCTATGTAGTGCTAACAGCACAATACTATTCCTGAAATGGAAAGCTAATTTTAGAACCGTTAAAAATGTAGCATGTTTAGATAAATAGCACGGTAAACTTAATATACGCAAACAATGTAATGCAACAAAAAGTATATGCACTTCATATTCTGACCCGGTTAAAATCGGTGTTATTTTTCTCTAAGCCAGCTCTGTTTATAACAAAATGTTTTATTTCATATTATATTCTCTGTTTTGCCTTTGTCTGTAATACGGTTTTACTTTTTTCAGCTGGTGATATTGCTGTAAGCAAGCAAATATATTTAAAACGATTTTTTAACACGTTTAATGCTTTTCCAACAGTACTTCAATAATCAGTATTATTGTTCCTGTAGAAAATAACTGAGAACTAAAATTATACTAATGTTAAAACCGATGAGCATGTCCAAGTTGGAACTGTGTTCAGGCAATTTTATATGGTTTAATTTGATTGTTTACACGGTATGTTATGGTGCAAATGATCAGTGTGTTCTCTTGTGGTAAAAAAGTGAATAATGGTAAGTATGCACAACAGAAAAAAATGGAAGTCAATATGCTAAAGGTATGTTAAAGGTTAAAGGTATGATTTTGCAGCATAAACAACCAGATATATGTATTTTCTTCTCAGTGACAATCTGCAGTAAAACAATGATGAAAACCTTCAGTCCTGTGAAGTGGCACATGGATTATTTTAATGATAGCTGAACAGGGTCTGCCAGGCCCCCTCCCTCAGACGCTTCCTCCCTGTCGCTGCCCTGCAATTTCGTCCCAGCTCTTCCGACAGGTGCTCACAATCCACTTGTGCTCGTCGTCATCTGTGGAAACAGGCAAATCCCAGTGTGGGAATCGCTCAGGAACGGCTCCTTTTGGACTTAACGGGCATTCGTCAGGAAAGGTGCCAAAATGGCGGGATAAACGGCGGCCCTTGCGTCTTCGGGATTTATTGTGGCCTTAATAAATCACGTCGCGTCGAGACACAACGATTTAGTGATTAGCCGGTGCATCCGTATGTCCTCCAAGGCTGCCAGTACTCGTCAAGCTGATAATTCCCAACGCTGGACGGGGATTTTTTTTTTCTTCCACGATTTTTGGGAGTAAAAACAGTCAATAAAAATATGCCGTTTTTTGGTGCTTAGAACTGAAAGGAGTTGCTAATTGCAGAGGGAGAAGGTAAAGCAGCTCCGCGGGGCCCTGAATCGCGCCGTGCAGCTGCACGCACTTGAGAGCTCACCCCGGGAACAAGGCGAGCCGGGCCCCATTGTTGCGAACAGGTCTTAAGCTCCTCTCTGATTGTCAGTAATTGCCTGCAATGGTCCTAACAGCCTCTCCACTCGCCTCATGGTACTCTACCTGGCTACCACACTCCACAATTGAAATCACGGGCGGCCGAGGCAGGCGCCACGGCAGCTGAATGCTAACGAAAGGCCCCACTCTCCTCTTGTGCTCTCTGCCACCATCCCGCCACGCGGAGGTCATGCTTGAGAAGAACATTTCATCACTATTTTAAACCAATTAATACCTCTGCTTCCTCCACCGGTGGCAATTATGTGGTGTCTGACTGCAATTATCGTTTCCTGGGCATGTATGGTAATGAGGCTACATTCGCACGTTTGCACGTTTGCACGCTGGCCGTGTTCGGCCCTTTCAAACACCAAAGATCTTTTTCTTCCTCCATTGTAGTCTTCTGGGCCCTTCAATCACAGCAGAATTGATATATTTTTTCATTACCCCTAACCCCCCTCCCATTCGTAGAAGGTTTGTATTTTATTTACTATAACAGTCCAAATTGTTATGAATACACCTGAAGCCCATGTCTAGCTGGCCAACGTACATCAACACTGGATGCCCAGCTAGCACCCCTCAAAAGACCAGTAATATGAACAATAAAAATCACAATAACACAAAGGAGACAAATACAGAAACAGGAAGACCACATACTCAAAGTATTATACTAACGTCAAATCAGATTATATGGTTAATATTCACTGATAAGTCAGTCATCTTCGACTTCAAAGTCTATAGCTGTACTCAGGGGTGGAACTTCTGCTACTAGCCAACTGGGCTAATTCGGAAAAAGATGTAATCCATTACGCAATTTTTTTTCTTCAAGCCAGTAGGCTAGTGTTGAGACTTTCGTACTCGCTCTTCGTCTAAATGTTTCGCACCATGCAAGTGGGCAAGTTTCATTTCCATCCATGGCTGTGCACCTTTTTGCATGTCATATTTTTCTATGAAATAATACTCAGAGAAAAAGATGCTGTAGACTGATGTATAATTGCAAAATGTGTACTTCGTGGCTATCCTGAGCTTCACTGCACTTAAATATATCTACATCTTCCGATGGTACCATGAGTAAATATTTTATCTCAGTTGATAAACTGTCAAGTAAAACCACACATAAAATGTGAAATGTAGGTTATTACAAACCATTTACAGCTTCAGCTTTAATTTCCATCCTGGATCTGTTGCAAGCTGGAAAACCAATAAATGATCTAAATGCACAAACTGTCACTTAATTCAAAGCACAAGAGGGAGTGCAGTAATGGCACCTTGTTGGAAGGTGTTACTCCTAATCCTTTTCGAAAAGGACGAGTGTTTCCTAATGGGCTGCGGATACCCTCGGCTCTCAGATATGAAAGCGTAAATCCGCTCAGGGGTCTTTTTAAGTGACATGAAGGGCTTAAGGAGCTGTTGTTGAAGGAGTTTATTTATGAAATTCAGCAGTGACACTAGGGGCAGCAGACTATCTTTTGTCTTGGCACAAACACGTGAACATTATACTGATACTGGCTGTTTGACATTTTTTAGTGTGACGCACAATGGAATAAAATGGCAGCGGTCCAAGGCAGGTTGTTTTTGTTGGCAGTGCAATGCTTTGAATGTGAACCTTTGTAGGTTTCAAAGGGGCAATTACACCAGAAGCAGGAAACCACTCTGAACAATATACAGGGGCTCAATACCACTTACACAACTATTTGTCATTAAGGTAAAATACAACGGTGGATCGATTCATGCAATAAGATGAGTTAAAGAACAAAGGAGGTGTATGAAAATAATTTTTTTGGAAGAAGTACCCCTTTAATAAGTTTCAAGTGGAAAGGATTTATCTTGTGTAATGTTTGAAATGAAATACAACTGTTTGTGGCTTTTATCTGTTAAGGAGGAATTTCAGTTGGAATATACAAATTTCTCAGAATGACTTTTAATAAAAATAAATGACCAGTTTTCTAAGAACAGAGTGCAAAAAGCAATTTCTTTTGGATACTTTAGGTATTATCTGGGGATGGGGCATCATTTTTGGGTGGAACCTAATGCAGTTTAGGAAACTTTTCACTTACTAAGAATGTGTCCCGGCAGCAGTCCACCCCATGGCCCCCCTTGGACGGCTGCAGCTGTACTCTCCAGCCCTGATACCGTAACCTTGCCTTACGTTGATTTTACAGATGGTTGGCATCCTTGCTGAGGTTTGGCTACAAATGTCACGCTACGAAGCATGTAGCCTTTGCGGTTTAACTAAGAAACGATTCAACATTCCTTTTAAATAATCTGTTAGTAATAGGTAAAGAGGCTTTGTATTATGCGTCTTGTTTGCTCGTATGTCTTTACGTTGGCAATATGACATTAACTGCCGGTATTTCCAACAGCAGGAGGAGACATTCAGCGGCAACCACAGGGGTCAATGTGGAGAATTTGCCCGGTGCGTCCGCGGGCAGGAGGCTGGCACTCCAGGGCGTCCCGCACGGCCACTCCCTGACCCGGCGAGGTCTAAGTCACTTTCGGCTGATACGTCTTGCCATGGCTTCTGTAGAAGGAGAATCCCGGGGGCTTCCTCCCATCTGCTTTTGCTGCTTTTCAGGACTTGGCCGCCAGCCTGGGTATTTCCCTGGTCCTTCCTGCCCAGCCCAGAAGCAGCTCTCTGCCCCCCCCCACCCCCCCCCCCCCCCCCCCCCCCCCCCCCCCCCCCCCCCCAGTTCCTCTGCCCCACAGCTGCAGCTTGACTCACCCTCCAGCCGGCCCCCTCCCAAATACCCCCACTGGGAGAGCAGTTCCTTTCTGTCTCCAGCAAGCGTCCGTCCAGCGAACGTTCGCTCATCCTGGAGGGAAGCCATTGGCAATAAATTCTATCTTCACACCCATTTTGACAAATAAACACTGGCCGCATGAAGACAAAAATAAATCATGGAACTGAAAATGTTCGCGTGGCGCAAATAGGTATCGGACACTTATTTGGGGATGTTCACTCTGCAAACCCCTAAATTACTTCACTCCAAAGTCCAGCGCTGACAGACAACTTGTGCGTCTCTGTAGGTGTGTGTTGCAAAATTTACGCTGACGTTACTACTCGGTTACTTTCACTTCCAGAACAAGACGACATCCCTACCATACTCTAACCATGGCATGTTTGATTTTCAGATAACTCTGACTGTTAAAGTGTGCTCTGCTCAGCACAACTCAGTCAAATACTTCCTGGAGGCTGACGCAATTAGCAGCATAATCACACTGATGCTTCAGCTGCTAGTTCAGTACTTAATGACAAGGTGTAATGCTAGCTTCTTTCTGGTCCGACATTCGGCAGTAATAAAAGAGGAAACTTGAAGTCATTTCAGTTGAAGGTATTAGCTAAGCAAAACATGCAGAGGTAGCTACAGTATATGAAGTGATGTCATCTGCCTGACTAACATTTAACAAAAGTGCTTATCCCACAAATTTCTTCATTTCATCTTACAGGCAAAGAAAAAAACCAGTTGGTTGTATTTGGATCGCTAAAAATCATGCACATGCTACAACTGTTCAGCATAAGACAATCGGAATCAAAATGTACAGTCTTCATTTTAGTTTAGGTGTGTATGCTCAGATAAACCGTCGGCGTACTTAGATGATGTTTGCATGCTCTGCCTTGTATTATGATGTATAACACTTGGCTGCTGGTGTCTATATTCTTGAGACATTAGCGATTGCACCCTGGTTTGAATCATGTTCCATGTAGTAAGATAAGACAAGACTTTTTGGAAATATGTCAAGGTTGTTCAGAGCTAAAGCGGGTAAAGCCCAATGGACACATACCCTCCAGCCCCATCTCTCCTTTTCACAGCTGTGGACAGACGTAAACCACAACCTTTCAAAGTACTGAGCATTTACATCGGTGTGGAAACAGGATTCTGGCGTGAGATTGAAACTCTGTTTTATTTTTCCCTTAAAAATGACTAGAATGACCTCAAAGCAGAAATCCAGAATTGACAAAATGTGTTTTATATTTCCTTTGAACATGGAAAATAATTTCAGTATATAAATTTGAATGAAGTGGAGAATGTCATAGAGTTATGATAGATTAGAACATCCATCCATCCATCCATCCATCTTGCACTGCTTATTTGGGTCCAGGTTACAGGGGAACCAGTTTGAGCAGAGATGCCCAGATGTCCACCGCCTCCAGCTCGACTGGGGGAATATCAAGGCGTTCCCAGGCCAGCCGAGAGATATAATCTCTCCAGTGTGCCCTGGGTCTGTCCTGGGGCCTCCTCCCAGTTTGACATGCCCACAGCACTTCCTCAGGAAGGCGTCCAAGAGGCACCTTAGACAGATGCGCAAACCACCTCAGCTGGCTCCTTTTGAAACAGAGAAGCAGCACCTCTGCTTTGAGCTCCTCCCGAATGTCCAGGCTTCTCACCCTGTCTCTAAGGCTGAGCCCAGACACTGTGAAGGAAGTTAATTCCTGCTGCATGTACCCACGATCTCATTCTTTTGCTCACTACCCAGAGCTCATGACCATAGGTGATGGTTGGAACGTAAATCGTTCAGTAAATTACCCGTGAGCAAGACCCTGAGATATTTGAACTACTTTGCTTGAGGCAGTAACTCATTCTCAACCTGGATGGGGCAATCCACCCTTTTCAATGACCTCAGACCTAGCAGTGCTGATCCTCACCCTGGCTGCCTCACGCTCAGGTGTAAACCGCCTCAGTGCATGCTGCAGGTCACATGACCCATGATGCCAACAGGACCACATCCACTGCAAAAAGCAAAAACCGGACCCCCTCTGCCCCTTAGCTATGCCTAGAAATTCTGTCCACAAAATTTCTGAACAGAATCGGTGACAAAGGGCAGCCCTGGCAGAGTCCAACACCCACCGGTAATGAGTCTGACTTACTGCTGGCAATGCGGACCAAACTCTTGCTCCATTTGTACAGGGAACTGATAGCCTGCAACAACGGACCCCGTACCCCAGGACCCCCAAGGGACACGGTCGTATGTCTTTTCCAAACACAAAACACTGGTTGGGTAAACGCCCATGAACCCAACAGTATCCTTGTGAGGGTGAAGAGCTGGTCCAGTGTTCCACGACCAGGATGGAATCCGCATTGTTCCTGAGGTTCGACCAACAGGCGGATCCTCCTCTTCAGTACTTCAGCATAGACCTTCCCAGGGAGGCTGAGGACCGTGACCCCTCTGAAACACATCCTCCGGTCCCCTTTCTTAAAAACTAGGAACACCACCCCAGCCTGCCAATCCAAAGGCACTGTCCCTAACCTCCAACCGTGTCAGTCAAGACAGCCCAACAAACAAGAACCTTCAGGAACTCAGGACAAATTTCTTTCACCCTCGAGGTCTTACCACTGAAGTTTTTTGACTACTTCAGTGAGCTCAGCCAAGTTCAAGTTCTCCTCTGAATCCCAACTTTACCTCTTCTAAGTAAGATGAGTCAGTTGGATTCATGATGTCCTTGAACTCCATCCCTGCTGTAACCAGCATGGGGAAAGCCCTGATTCCCTCTCCCGAGTCAGTTTGCCAGAATCTCTTTGAGGCAAACTAAAAGTAATTTTCCGTGGCCTCACCAAACTCCACCTAGCACTGGTCCATTATGGCTCCTCCTGCAGGTGGTGGGGTCACTGTCACTGGAGAACCGTCCCACCCGGCTCATTCGGGCTGTGCCCAGCCAGGCCCCATGGGTGAAGGCCCGGCCACCAGGCCCTCGCCAACAAGCTCCACCCCAGGTCTGGCTCCAGGGTGGAGCCCCAGTATCCCTTTTCTGGCCGAGGTTTCTGGTTCCTTGTTGTCGTGTTTCATAAGGGGTATTTGATTCGCCCTTTTCATTTTTAGTTTTTAAAATGTAGTTCATCTAGCATATCTACCATAGTTACTTAGCATTACTACATATTAATACCGCCACAATCATTTAATTCAATCAGTTAAGGGTGCAACAGTACAGCCTTTTCCTAGGCCAGCAAGCCGAAGTTCCCTAGTTATTAATCCATTTGCTTAATCACTTTGCTACCACTGGTTAAATAAAAATTTGCTTTTACCAACAGAAGAATCAACAGAGCCCTGGGGCTTGGTTGATGGTATGAAGGTTTATAGTGAACAGGTGCTATAGGTCACAAGCTAGCTATACAGTAAGGATCAGGGTCAAGGTTGTACTGCATACACAGGCTGAATTTGGTCTGTGTTGATCCACAGACTAGCTTTAGCTTTTAGCATTAAAAACTGAATTTGCTTTATCACTACCGAGTTGTTGATGAAATGGTTAGGTCAAGTATCCTCTCACCTGCATTTCTCAGGAAACGGTGTTCATAATCAGTGATAATTCGAGTTTTGTGGTTGTAAAATCCATCCCCGCAGTCGTAACAGCCCTCTGGGATAACTCTCGGAGGATCCAGATTAGTCAAGTGGGATTCTCCTGTAAGGTAATTGTAAATAGATCGAATGAGCACCTTGGGTGTCAGCTGAAACAAAACTACTCAAGAATACTAATAATACCCATCCATCTTCAGTGATCACGTAAAGGAAAACATTGAAGAAAAAGCTCTATGATATAGTTTCCAGTTAAGGTTGCAGTTACTGTCTCAAATGACTTTATACTTTCAAATTACTTTGGCTGTGATATCATTCAGTCTTTGACAATCTGAATTTTAAATAAGATAGTCCACAAGATTAACACCTGTAGCATTTTTGTTATAAAATAAACAATAGTAATAATAAAATTATAGTTGAATTATAACAGGTGTGTAATCTTCTTTATAAAGGATAATTTATTTCACTCAATTAAGAATGAAAACAAACTGAGATAAAAAGCTCAAGGAAATGTGGTCCCTTATTAGATAGGCAATTGTCTAGTATGAATTTTTTCACAGAATAAATTCAAACAAGCATGAATTTACATCCTGTGTTTTGCTTCTGATTTCAGGGGTAAGAATAAAGAATTATAAGTTAATCTGGTAAGGAAAAATAACACTTTTGAAGCTAACTAAACAAGTTACAGGGAATTTACTACACAGGAATTTAATATTTGCTTGTAAACCAGCATGTAGAAAGAATACATCAACATTTTCTCTTCACTGAAGACAGAGAGACCCAGACAGAACTTCAGAAGAGAAAGAACAGCAATAATCCATCAATCCACCCATTTTCTGAAGCCGCTTGTCCTATTCAGGGCTGCAGGGGGGCTGGAGCTGATCCCGGAGGCCACGGGCGCAAGGCAGGGAACAACCCAGGATGAGGCGCCAACCCATCACAGGGCACAATCACACACCATTCACTCACACTCACACACACACACACACACACACACACATACTGGCAATTTGGCAACTCCAGTTAACCTCAGCATGTTTTTGGACTGTGGGGGGTAATCGAAGTACCTGGAGGAAACCCCACGACGACACGGAGAGAACATGCAAACTGCACACACATGGAACCCCACTGGAGACCCAAACCCAGGTCCCAAAGGTGCAAGGCAACAGTGCTAACCACTGCACCACTGCACCACCACACTGCCCTCGCAGCAATAATCCAAGTGAAAAATTACTATATTTGGACAAGGTGTCTGAGTATGCCACAAGTTAGGAAGTGCCAAATGGAGGGAAAAAGATCAGGCATGATTTCACCTGCGGGTTTCAGTCCATGGCATATTTCTGTATAGTATCGCCTGTCATTTCCATCACAATACACCCAGTCTGTCTCCTGGTACACCAGTCCGTCAGAAAAGGTGTATGTCCCCTGCAAAGGACATCTGAGTTATAGCCATTGTGACATCATGTTACAGACTTACATATGTTTATTTGCCCCCGAAAGCTCTCACACAGTATTTCACATCAAAACAGCAGAAAGCAATGCATTGAAAATGGTCAGTCCTTCATGTGTGGGCTGCCCACATCTCGTGGAAACAGTTTTTATGATTTGTTGTGAATTCATGTAATGTATATATATGATCATTATAAATAAACAGCTAACAGTAGTACAGATAATTTTTGTTAAATTGTAAGAAATATATTAACACAATATTTTTAACACAATAAGAGTGATGTAAGAAATGTATGAATGAAGTGTGAATTTAATGCTGTTCTATAATGATGAATGGTTGTTTATGGTGGGGCCTGTTAGGCCAGCAAATCCAGCCTCCACCTGAAGTCAGAGATGATGCTACACACCTGATTACATATCCCTTTCTCCCAGGTACCCTCGTATTTGCCTCCATTGGGAAAATGCAACACCCCGTTTCCATGGAAATATCCATCCTTCATATCCCCAACATATCGTGTGCCGGTTGGCAGTGTGTACTCTCCTCTACTCTCCATCCTGGAAGTATAAGGGCACACGAGTGGTTAATCTGCCTGACATGCGTTTCATTTGGGATGATTTACAATGCCGACCCGAACTGCAGCGTCGGGAGAAGCGCACCGCTGAGGTAACAGACTCAGACAAACGTCATGGGTAGCTGTAAGAAAAAGCGTTTTTCTTTTCTTCACTGACACACAAATGCAGATTTAAACATAAAGTGTTATCAAAAGTCTCAAATATAAATCTTATCTAACGAAAGTAGATGAAATTAAAATGAGCTGAAATACAATATAATATAATATAATATAATAATATAATATAATATAATTTGCCGATCTTTAATTAGCAAGTTGTTTAGATTATTAATTTTAAAATATAATATGATGGATTAACGTATGTAAGTACATATAATCAAAGTGATTACTGGTTACAGAATGTACATATCGATTACATGGTGAGGACTTTAATTTTTCAAAATAAAGACATTTAGATCCAAAAGTACATGGCTAATATTGTTTTCAAACAGACCATTAAAGCATCAAACCGCAATGTATGTTTACAATCAGCATAATGTTTATATCTTTTCGTCGAAGTATTAACTGGTCATAGGACGTGCCTTGCTAAATAGGCGATCATTCAAGGTAATTTTCTACGTTACTCTGTGATCGTTCCCTATACTATTAGACAAATCATTGGTGATAACAAAGTACTGCTTACAAATCCTTAACTCGAACAAAGCTTTCGACTAGGTTACTGCACTTCCTAGCGTGTAATATTAGAGAGTCTGCTCATCAGCTTCCAAGCAGGTTAATTTAGCGAATTTAATTTAGCGAACGCGATCACGTCCGTCTTCGCCATTGCAAGTTATAGAGACGGGGCAAATGAGAAGATTAATACTTTTACCTGCCATTTTTGGTGTCTCCGTCATAGCGGCTACCGGTGAACTCCATTCCGGCGAACGATTAAGCCGCGGCGGCTTCCCGTTTCCATAGTAACCGCCAATGCGTATCTTCGCGGCAAGGTTGCGACACATTGTTTTTCTGCTCCGAGCAAACAACAATTAATCTGCTACACTAACAGCGAATATTTTCACATGGAAAACAAATACGCAGAGTAAAACAATCATACAGAGTTAAGGTGGTTGCTGGTTGTGAGTAAAGTATTATGGGGGGGACCAAAATGAGTGTATTGCAGTGTTGCCCAACCCGGTTCTCGGGGACCCAGAGACTGGCCACGTTTTTGCTCCCTCCCAGCTCCCTGCCAGACGGTCCACATTTTTACTCCCTCCCAGCTCCCTGACTGAACTGTGGACTGTCTGCGGGTCACCGAGTACCGGACTGGGAAACACTAGTGTGGAGAATATTCTGTATTGATTGCCCATTTTGGGGGTCTAGAGAGCAGGAAACTTGACCCGAGTGTAACATTTTCACTGAAAATAAAAACAAACTTTTTTTCTGATTTGATGCGTAATTTACCTACTGTTTATCAGCTCATTAAATTGCATTGTAAGACATTGTGTACACATGAAGTATAAGTTACATCAAGGTTCTTGTAATGTCTAGAAAACTCATCGACATAAACATAAACAAACAAACAAATACATAAATAAACAAACACTGCCAAAAGTCCAAACTTCTGCTTCTTAATCAAAACTTATTCCAGTGTCGTAATAGTGGAATACGCAAACTGTGATTCGTATTGATGGTCAAAAACAATGGAATCTTATGTATTTCTTTAGAACAGGTGATTATTTAATCCGCACCACAGATGGCATCTCTGTGCCCCCACTGGTTCACCAGCTCAAGAAGGCCAACAGAAAATTTATTTGCTTTAGGAGAGAGGTGAAAAATTATAGAAAGGGTCTCAAAGAAGGGAAATAACGTCACTGAATGTGCAGAGTGACAGGTTTACCTAACATTTTGGGGGCTGTTTTTGTAAGGATTCACCAGTGTTACAGATTAGGGTTATGCTGACTGGATAAGGTTTTATGGAAGCATATTGAGAAACAGAGCCCAAGGCATTTCTGTCATAAACTGAAGACGGATTCAGTTACAGTTAATAAATGTGAGCAGCTATAATCTGTAATTGAAATGATTATGCCTCAAATTCAGCTCAATGATTTGATGGAATCTGGCTTATGTTTGCAGAAAAAAAATTACTCCAAGGTGGTGTGGGGGGTCAGGGTTTTCCAATCAGGGTCATCAAGTTAGGTGGCAAAGATGTACCAAAAACAGACTTTTTCCCCCTGATTTTTATCATGTTTATTCTGATGTTAAAATGGCTTTCTTTTGAATTTGTTTAGCATGCCTCAATTCTTTTCCCAAACTGATGACTGGGACATATGCTGTAGAAAATACACTTGTGATAAAATATGTAATGTGACAGAATCCTCTTATCGTTATTATGTTTTGGATTAAGACTCTCAGTCCAGCAATGGCGTGCTGTATTTCATAGCTTACAAGTGTCAAATTGGAACATTTCAGATTAGATTTGCTTGGAAAATATCCTCACTCCTGCTGTTTCTCACACAAAGTGACACATTGCAGAGAATGTCGGTGATCCTGATCTGATGAAGCATCTAGTTCGGTATCACCTACACTTCTTGCTGTCAAAGCAGACACTCTCTAGAAATAGGAGCAGAGACAGGAAGCACCCTTCATGGGAATCAAACGGACCCAGTCTCAGTACCATATATGCCTGTTACACCTCGTCTGTTCATATTCTGTATATGAAACTTGTGTCAATAAAATAACCTTTGTGACGGGGCATGGTGAACAATGATCCACTGGACGGCTTACAGACAGCAAAAGAAATTTATGGTAAAATGAATACAAAATGAGCCAGTAACAGAAGGGGGGGGGGTAAAAACAAAGGCAACTGGGTAAAACCAAAACAGTGTCACTTTACAATAAGGCTCCCTTTTGCCACTTGAAAATGGTAGTAACTCATTAATAAAAAGAAAACTGTGTTATAACTTGTTTAAAATTGTCTATTAATGATTTACAAAGTGTAACAACCTAATTAATAACCAGATTATAAAGCATTCAAAAACCCTTTATATGGGTAGTCTTATTGTAAAGTGGTACCACCAGAATTAACAGGGGCTAGATCTAAATAGGGAGAAACGGAGAGGAAACACAAGCAAGAAACACATTCAGCATCTACAATGACTGACAGAGTAGGTCATGCTGTACCAAGACTGGTGAATGGCTGAATGTATGGATCAAGCCCCCCCGCGTCTCTCTCCTTAGCGCTTGCTTCAAAACACCAAGGCAGTGGGTGGGAGGTGTGTTGCTGGCTGTCAGATAGAGGAAGCTTAGTGAGACGGCCTGGCTTGTGTCAGAGAGAGGAAAGGAGCCTGTGTTTATTGAAAGTAATTTTGCTATAACAACAAACTCCGTTCCTGCCGTGCTGCTGACTGGTATCGTGGACGACCAAATTTAATGAAGGCATAAAGGGTTGCTTTGTACAATATTAGCAGGAAACATAAGCTCCCAAGCAGGAAGTATGTGAATAGCATCATCTAGGGCAAATAAAAATAGCCAGGAACAGCAGGAGAAAGGTGCTGTATGCTGTAGAGGAACTTCAGTTGATTATTGACTTTCCTTTTCATGTATCCTCTACTAGACTCTGTCCTGTCGAAATGTAAGTTTTGTAAGTTTGTTTATTATTCATTTTCCTTATCTGCCTGTCAAGCATATCGTCACAGTAAGCATTGGGCACAACTCTGAAGGCAACTTAGAGAGACCACTTCACCTAAACGGCACGTTTTTGGAGTGCAGGAGAAAACCAGAGCAGCTGGAGGAAGCCCCACCTGAAGAGGCAGCCTCCACACTGAGGGCCAGAGCAGGAAATGAATCCGCAGGCTTGGCCACGTGAGGCCTCCTTCTTAATCACCGCCATTCCTCCTCCGTGTGCTTCAAAGTTCTCCTCCCATTAGGCAATAGCAAGGTTGGGAAAATATGATCAATGTTGTTACATGATGTTGTTTGAAAATATAGGATCTTAAACTGAATAGGAAGTTCTCCTGGGCTGGGAGTTTGTTGCATTTTCCTGAGGTCAAGTGTGGATGTCATTTGACCAGGGCAGCCTATCACGGCTGAAAATCTAAAACATGGCCAAGATATTAGGAGGCCGAGACTGTTGTGTGGGCTGTATGTTAAACGTAGGAATTCAAAGTAACATAGTGCTGTTTTTGAGCTTTTACGTAGGTATTTTAAACTGAAAATGAAATTGTTTGATCAGGGCATTAAAAGGCATGCAAGATGAAAATTCACTTAATGAATATTTAACAAAACAGCATTGCAGATTAAATTAAAGTAAGAAAAAGTAAAAAATAAAAAAAAAATCTGAAAAAAATGTTGGAGCGGAAAATAAAATATAGAAGAAAACCTCCAGGGGGTTAAAGCCAACTGTGTTAAAACAGAAGTTAGAAGGGACCTTGTGTTCTGTCCTCTGCTAGGATGGACAAGAATGCCTGGCAACAAGCACATGAATAAACCGTTGACAGTAGAAGTACATACTCTGATGTAAAGACTTTGCAATTGCTGGCATAACTATTTATTATTGTTTTATTAATAAAGTTCCTACAATGGAATCTGTAGGTTTTCAGTTATTGGTGCAATTTTTTTTAGGAAAATAACCAAACGGTTTACCGAAGGATTCTTTGTGATGTAACTTTCTGAATAACGCAATAACCCAAATATTAAATTAAGTTTGATCACTATGTCTTACATATGTCTGTTCCATTCTGTGACATCATACTGCAGGTTCTCTGGTACCACATCATATTTAATCTCTTACACATAGTTAACACTAACATACAGTGTGACTTGCAATCTTAATGAACAATAATTAAAAACGGCATAATATGCAGTCATTGTGCATATTATGAAAAATATTTCATAGTATATGTTAACTTTACCATTGTGTATTTCACATGTTTTCCAATGTATTGATAGCATGCTCAGAATTGAGGTGTATATGAATAAATGAAATTGCTACTTGACAAGGTTCGTGTTTCTCAAGATCATCATCGTAAACTATAAACCATTGTTTTGGGTATGTAGACTTCACATCTCGTATTATTGATTGAAACATTTACTTTTTCTATTTTTTGCAGAGCGACCTTGCAATTGACTGATAAGTCTGTGTAAGTGCATGTTAATGTGGTTGTACTGAATTGTAATTTCTATTCAATGGTCTGATTTTAATTAACAGATTTCACTTTTAAACTGGACATTTGGAAATGTGACCTGACTCAGCTGGTACCAAAAGTATATATATTTTACCTCAAAGCACCAAGAAAACCAGTCTGTTATTATCCTTCCATGATATTGTACAAGATGTGTGCTTTTCTGGAGCAGCTGTGCATGTTTGAAGCCAATACCTGAACTTGTTTCGTACCTTTCCTCTGGTTCCATGTTTAGGCTAAAACCTATCTGCATTTTGTCAACATACTCATTAAGGGGGCAGGGGGCAAAGGAAAGGGTTCAGGACTCATTTTCCATAGACCTGGGCCAATGTCCTTCTGACCTTACTTCCTTAAGGTGACTTGTAGGCAACTCTGCACACCAGAACCACAGATCAAAGACACATTCCAATCAAGCTACAACCATTTTATTCTTCAAAAGTCACTTTCACACTCTTCAGATACATAAATCATTTTATGACAAAGTAATAAAAGTTTTTTCTTAGTACCCAAACATTTCAAAAATATGTACATGTGCTTAACTTTCTCCAGGACACTGGCCCTTAACCTTAAGGTTGTCGGTTCAAGTCCCAGTGGAGATCCTGCTACTAGTACCCTTGAGGAAGGTACTTAACCAGCCTACTCTAGTAAAGACATCCAGCTGTATGAATGAAAAAATCAGTCTTTATGGATAAAGAGCCATAGGTTACACAAATAAATCTGCACGCAGAAGCAGACAGTGAATAAATGACCAATATTGTTAATATTGTTAAAATAATTACTCAAATGTTCTGGGGGATACAAAAAAAATTAACTTCTCACGGTGATTCATTTTATTACTTCATACCATTTCCATTATCAGTACATAATGGACTATGTCTGAATTTTTGTTTATCAGGATTTTTAAGTCAATTATAGCTGTGAAAAAGATGCACACTTTAGCCATAATGGGGAATCGGTATTTTTATAGTTTTCTGTTTTAGACTGAAATTGATCAATAAAACTTTTG